AGGGGATTGTAAATGTAGGCAATTTGAATGGCCCCCACTACTTAGGAGTTGGGCTGCTCCTAAGGATGCCTCATCATGGGGGCACAGAAGGGAATTGGTGAGGTTTTATTCACCAAGGCACCCCTGGGGGTTACAAGAAATAATGGCCACAAGCTAGCAGAGAGCAGATTTAGACTAGACATTAGGAAGAACTTCTTCACAGTTAGAGTGGCCAAGGTCTGGAACGGGCTCCTAAGGGAGGTGGTGCTCTCCCCTACCCTGGGGGTCTTCAAGAGGAGGTTAGATAGGCATCTAGCTAGGGTCATCTAGACCCAGCCCTCTTTCCTGCCTATGCAGGTGGTTGGACTCGATGATCTACTGAGGTCCCTTCTGACCCTAACATCTATGAATCTATGAATATAAGGAGGCCTGTAATCTGCATATCCACAGAGTACACCCTTCCAGCAATGGTGGAACGCGGCTGGTGCCCCTCAGCTGTCCCAGCGCTCCCTGCATCCGTCGAAGCCAGTGTCAATCTAGGCTCAGTCTGGTCAGGTCCTCCTGTGCAGAGAGAAAGACACTGCTGACAGTGGGGGCAAGTGGCTTGAAACAGCAACTCAGTGTTTGTGCCCTTTCCCCACAACTCAGCGCTTTTCTTTGCTGTCATTTTGAGGGGTGGGTGGATGCCTAGTGCCTCCCAACCTTGGGAATGTGTCTCTCCATAGAATATAACCAGGGATCCTGGTTTTCCCTGATAAAATGGCAAATTCTCTCATAAAAAAACACACATTCTCTGATTAAGCCACCAAAATTTGTGTTTAAAATAAAAGACCTCTCTCTATATATATGTAGCAGTTGAAGACAATGTTTTATTGAGATATTTACAGTTATAAAACAATTTGGAAGCCTACCAGTGCCTCAATCACTATAATAAAATACATTCTAAATACCTATAAATGTCGGTATTTGATTTGGGGTTTTTTAGCATGGAAAATCAGAGCTCCCTCTGCACCCTTCACTCACAGAACACAGCTCCAGACCCCTCACTCCCGAGCCACAGCCCCTCAGTCCTGGCTGTGTCCCTCACTCCATACCCACAGCCCTGTGGCCCTGCCAGTGCCCCTCACTCCCCCGACAGCTTCCTGGGCCCTGTCTGCCGCCCATGGGAGTTGGTGGCTGCTGCAGCATAACGGAGTGCAGAGCCTGGCTCCCCTTCCCCATTGGTGGCATGACCACTGCAGGCTTGGGTGGGGGACAGGGCCAGCTTCCTGCTGCTGCACACACTCCTGGGGGTTAGGGGGTCTGTGTCTCCCAGATCTGTGCATGGGGAGGGGCAGGCTGCCTGCTGTGGGCTCGGGCTACCCACCCTGCTGCTCTCTGCCAGGGCCTCTGCAGCCTAGATGTTGGGACCCAGCGCAACAGGGCAGAGCAGGACTGGGCAGGGAAGTTCCTTGCAGCTATGAACTCCATACTGCCCCTGCATGCCCTGCACAGCAAGGGGCATAACTCTTGGCCACTGCCCCCACTGCTGGGTGACATGCAGTAGGCTCATTGTCAGGGCACTGACGAGCTTGCAGTGGCAAGGAGCTTCTCTGCCCAGCCCTGCTCTGCCCTGCTGTGACAGGTCTTGCCCACTGGGACACAGAGGCCCCAGGGGAGGGCAGCAGGGTGGGGAGCCCGAGAACAGCAAGCAGCCCACATCCAACCCACGCACAGATCTGGGGGGCACGGGTCCCCTGCCCCTCCTGGGAATGTGCAGAGTGCTGTCTCCTCTCTCCCTATGGGGGCCTCAATCCCCCCTGCCCCCCACCAGACTTACCTGTGGGAGTTGCTCTCCAAGCTGCCTGGTAGCCATGTGCATATACATCCACACAGTACCTGCTGCCTGACCACCCCCCGCCTGCTACCCCAGTCTTTTGCAGGCTGGTACTCTGCCAGCATGCAAAGAGCTCTCTGCATGAATGCTGCATGCCCCCTGAGGCTGGGGGGGCCTGGCAACTGCCCGCAGGTGGTGGCGGTGTTGGCTGCGGGGGCATGGTGGTGGGGAGCTCCCACAGCTAGGTAGCTGTGGTGGTGTTGGCAGGGGGGCCAGGCCAAGTGGGGAGCTCTCGCAGGTGGCCACAGTGGTGGCAGCGGGGGTGGGGCGTGGTGTGGGAGCATGGCTAAAAAAAAAACAAAGGAGGGGCGCCC